AACGTCCTGGTAGTTCATTTTGCTGATGACCTTAACAAGGGCCTGAGAACCAGTGGAATCAAAAAAAGCCCCCCAACATCAAAGATCCATCACCATATTTTATAGTAGGTGCGATGTCGTGCTTTCACATCCTTCTTTTGGTACCAAACCCACCTCTGGTGTCTCTGGCCAAAAAGCTCTATTTGCATCTGTTCCTGTTCCAATCCAAGTGGCAGAGATGTTTAGAAAACTCCACATTCTTATGGTTGTTGATTTCTCTCAATACAGATTTTTTTTTCTGGCAGCCCTTCCAAAATAGGCCATTGCCATGTAGGAAGTATCTGCAGTAATTGTAATTTTGGAGACTTGATGACCCCAAAATACAACCAAGCTGCAGCCCTTGGAATTTGCCAAGGTTTTTGCAAGTAGCCCACACTTGCATCCTTATCAAGAAAGTTTTCCTGGTAAACTATGGTTTACAGTAAACAGTGGTAAACAGTGGTATTAATCCCATAGGGAAATTTCATCAATTTCCCTACGGGATTAATAAAGTATTATCTATCTAAACCTGGTTGTCAGTGGTACTGGTTTATCTGGTTCATGGTAAATGTGGTGAAGCTGTTGGCTTTAAAGTTACAAACTATTGCCTTTTTTTGTTTGTGTACCCATTGCCTGATTTAGAAAGACAATCATTTTGTTTACCTTCATGGATCAAGGTGAACAGCAAAGAGACAAATGTCTCTTTATGTCTCTTTTCATATGTGAGTTCTTTGCCTTTCCCAATAGTGATGGATGGTAAAAGGATTTGACATGCATGTTATCTCATTTTATACCCCAGTGAAACAGGAAATTGTGGAATTCCAAAATATAGTTCCATAAGATTAAGATGAACATGAAAAGGAGAATAGAAAGGAGACTAATTTTTATTTGATTTTGTGCCTAAGAAGCTTTATGGATAGAAATAATTTTGACACCAATCTTTTAGAGAAATAAACTTACTTTTTAACAAAATTCCTTTTAACTCTGAGCAGTTGCATTGGAATACAAGAATATAGTTTTACCTGGTATATATTGATGACTTTATATAAAGAGAGTAAAGAAGTCATATTCAGCAGCTTGATTACTATTCTGATCAATGAATAAACTTGTATTATATTAACTTGTATTATTGTTGTAACAAATGAGGAGGTTACGAGAAAAGTGGAGAAAATCAAGAACTGACTGAGCAGATTAGTCAATAACTAAATGAAATATCATAACCCCCCAACTTGTAAAGAGTTCTGCGAGAATATACCCAAGCAGTTGGTATAGTTAGAGGCATGTAAGTTCTCTGTCCTCTGGTACTGCTTTGGTTAAAAAAATAATAATTCAGACACACTTGGTTAAACAAATATTTATTAACAATGACAATACAAACACTACAAGCAACATAAATACAGAACACACATGTGACTGTATTTACAAGTTTACAGACAAAATTTTTCAGAGACCTACTTCTAAACCACCCAGAAAACCCTAGGCTGCTACTAAGTATTTGAGACTTAAATAATGTCTACAGAGGCCAAAGAATATATAAGCTGTCTTGTACACTTAATGCTAAACAACCTGAGTTTAAATTTCCAGATACCACAAAATAAATGGGAGCCTATCTCCCTATTCTAAAATGCACCATCTTCAGAAGAGGCAGTATAAAACTGAGGAATTCCTCACTCAGAAAATTCCCTAAAATCCATAAAATAGCAAGCTCTCTTAGCAAGATTTAAATATTTTGCTCCAATCTGGTTTTCTTTTGAATGATCATGAAGTAGATACTCTTGCCCGGCTCAAGCTGATAGTTCCAACTCCTCCTGACTTTTCTCTCTTCTGGTCTGACCTTCTTTTTCTTACTGTCTCTCCCCTTTACCAAGTCTGATCTGATTGTATATGGTGTGTGTCTGGATTGTTGATTGACACCTAATCATCACAGACTCACTACATCTCAGACAACTTCCCCTGTGCTTTGAAGCTGGGAATGTTTACATTTCCATGAGTTACACACATTATCAAGAGTCTTAGACATCTCCATTGTAACCTTCCTCAGCCGATATTCTTCTCCTAAAGTATTTATTATCTAATATATTATTGTCTGCATATCTAAATATGTTTTAAACCTTACGTTCATGTCTAAAGTAAAATAGTTTAACCTTTTTTGTGTTTTCATGTAACCTCATATTTTTGATCATCTGATGATCTGATCATAAATAAGTTGAATATACAATAATTTTAAGTGTATATACTGTACCAATATCCATTTGTTACCTGGAATATTTGCTTTAAATTTATAACCTCTTTTTTATCACAGGTTGACAAGAAAATTGTACGTACAGAAATTGGTGTCTTACTTCGACTTTCCCATCCTAATATTGTAAGTACTATATTGTTTCCTTCCTCTCAAAATCTGTAAATATAATCCTGCAAATATAACAGCCTTTTTCAGTGTCATTTGTAATTTGTTCCTAATTTGGTTCTTCTTAATAATACTTATAATAATATTAATAGTTTATTGTTTATTCCATTGTCCAACATCTATATCCACGGTTATTTCTGTAACGAACAGTTCTTTCCGGACCCTATGCGGACGACACAGTCCGACGGAGTGGGGAAACACTGGGGAAACATCATGCAGGAATACGGGGCAGAAGACAGGGGGGCGTGTCCAAGGTGCGCTGGTGCACGGGGGAGGTGTGGCCGAGGCGAACAATCCAAGAGAGTAATCCATAGAGTATCCAAAAACACACAAGAAAGTCCAAAACCAGGAGATCCATCAAAACACGACGTTAAAACCACGAAGGCCGGGTCGGAACCGGCGGACAGGGGACAAGGAACAGGAACAGGGGTTAAAACCTTATCGGGACCAGGCGCTTCCAGGTCCCGGACTCGCACGATATGGAAATCAGATGCAGAGCCCGGATGAGCGTCAGCGCCTGGCTTTTAAGGTGGACTGGGAAAAGGGAACAGGTGCAGAGAATAAAATCTTAGTGAAAGGGCTGGAGCACCCTTAAGGAGGGGAACTAATATCGTGACAATTTCCAGTTCATAGCAGAATGTCATTCAATTAATTGGGAATGTTATATTTGGTTGCTGTATGAAATTACTTGCTAAGTAATGCTCTTAACACATTGCAGGATACAGTATGGACAACAAGAGCAATTCATGTAAAGGATTCCAATATGATTGTCTTACAGTTTGAGCAGATTAAAATACAATACAGCACAACAGAGTTCAATACAGTTTTGATTTCCTTACAGGGCAGAGTCAAATATGGCAGTGCTGGTGATAACAGTTTGCATAATTTGTCAACTGCTAGGCAATTATATTGCAAAACTTACTGGTACTGGTACTGAGTAGAGAATGGAAGCAGGTCACAGTTTTTGATGTTCCCAGGTAGCTTCGAGTACCATAGGAGGCACATGAACTAAAGTGTCAGTGCGCAGAAAGATTTTTTTCGATCAACAGTCTTATCCTCTATTGTGGGAAATGATTGATACTATAATGTTTGACCATTAATTTGTGTTTGTGTTTGACCAAACACACTTAAAGGAATATATTGTATCATGTCAATGAAATGCATATTCATTTTGTGTTGCAAAATGGGTTTTTGCTGTCGAACAATAAAAATAATAAGCGGACATTTTTATATCATTATTTTACATCGTGCCTCTCATGTAAAAATATCCCAGAATTTTTAACAACCATAAAAACACTTACCAGAAATAAAAACACATTCAATAGCAAACAATACATGCATACAAAGAATGATGGCAAAGACATGAAGATAAACGTTCAATTCGGATTTAAATGAGCTAGTGTTGTATTGGTCCTTTATATTCACATGAAGATTGTTCCACAGTTTTGGTGGCAAAACAAAAGAATATTAACCATTGAGTGGTTGTCATTTAGTTGAGGTGTGCATGATAGGCCAGAGTCAGAGTACTGATCCACGATTACATTGAAAACTGTATAGTGGGGAAAAAAAAAAACAATATTGTAATTTGCTGCTCAATTTCACCTATAGTAGCTCTTTCTCAGATTTTTTTAGGGGTTCACATAAACATTAATGTATTGTTGTATTTTTTTCACTGCCATATTTGCATTCCATACTGCATTGTAAAATTATTGTCAATCAAAAGTGCTTACCATAAAAAGCAGCTATAGTAATGAAAATTATTAAAGGTGTCATTTACCAGCCTGTTTACTTAGTCTAATTAGACTGTTAAATTCTCCAATGTTTTATGAAATAAAATACAAAGAAAGATAACGCAACAATTAAGATTGGATATTTTTGGAAGCTTCAGTCAATTATGATTTTGTACAGCATATCATATATAATGCATCCTACCTCAAGCACGACCTAATGAGGTTTTATTAAGGAATGTAGTGTTCACCATCATACACAGTCGCACTATGGCCTAAGCCTTCCCTCTTGAACCACATGTTTTTGATGTAGAGCAGGAGTAGTCTTGAGGTGTGCAAACATTTGAGGTTTCACTACATGCAACATCAGTCGTTAAATACGGCTCACGGTCCAACTGAATGTCATTTCTTTCGTCTCTAAACAAACATTTTGACAATACGAGGAACATAACGTGTTCATTCATATTGTGAAGACCTGATTCAAAAAAGGTCAAATTGAATAAGGATAATTTGGCAATAGTGCTGTTTATTAGAAGCCTTGTACTATTAAATACATTTAATCTTGTCTGTTCCATGACAAAAATTATAGTATGAATAACATAACATGTTTGTTCATGTTGAGCAAGATTGATTCAAAATTGGCATAGTAAACTTAATAAGGTAAACATAGGCAATACCTCTCTCTGTTTATTCAAAGTTAATGAAATAATAGCTTTACTCTGTCAACACTTCATGCCTAAAAAAGCAGACTTGCAGTAAAGGCACTTTAGTGGCACTCATGAACACACCTGTGAAACACAAATTGGAAATGGAACACCTTTAACCCTTGCAAACTTGAGCAGTAATGTGCATATGAAGGCCACAAGATCACAGGTGTGGAAATGGGGACACAGCCCCATTTTTATTGAGCTATCTGTCAACAGGGCCCTTTAATTTACATTTTTAACCTTTGTAGAACACTTAACAAAATCTATGTATTCTTCTTTGGTTTCTTAATAG